CATTGAGGAACATGATTATTCACTGAGTAGGATGCAAGCATATTCGCCTGACGACTTATGAATAGGACGACATACGCATTCTACTAGTACTCATGAAATATAACCTCAGGTGGATGATTTTTATGTGGTTGTGTTCTCTGAGCTGCTGCTCACTAGACTGATGGATCAAAGAATTGGCGCGTCACGAAAACCACTTCGAACAAACTACACACATTCATCAACAGCTATCTTCGCTCAGTACTACTCAAGATCAGATAGCTGGCCGGAAGAGATCAGCAACAGGGATCTCTGGGTGCGAACCAACCCAGTAGGAACCGAATGTGCAATAGATATGCAGGAAGAAATTGAGGTGGATTGGCTGGCCATACTCTGAGAAAACAAACCACCAAGTGACATCACACGCTAGGCCATCACTCGAGTGGAACCCGAATGGGAAGCGGTAAGTATGAGGGTGACATAGATGAGGTGATGTCAAGAGAGGAGATGGAAGTTTGTGGGGATGCGTGAAGCCAGGTGGTGAAGATGTTGTAAGAAAGGGGAACGCAATTGAGACGTGTGGCTGAAGGCCTATGTTCCTCAAGAAACCAAACGAAACAATAAAAATAATGATAATATATCTCACATACAAAAGGTTCAAGCCTATTCGTGAAGTATGTTACTTTGAGAAAACGAATTACTTTTCGGGAAGATTACTAGTAGCGGAAAAATGACTGTAGCTTTCTAAAATATTCAAGTTTTGCTCCAAACTTGATCTCTGAAATATCAGTAGCCTCTGGTCTTTTTTTAACAGAGTTGGGGTCACTTACCTTATACCCAACCTTCCCTCTAAAGCATACTTCCAACCGAGTAGTGAAACTAGACGAGGTTTAATAGTGTGTTGTTTGGAAATCGACCCTAGATGACGTGAGTGGTTTGGCGAGGACCCCTCCCTATCTCAGTAATACTGTGAGTAGTCGAAGTAGAATTAAAGCAATACACATAAACAAAGCGGTGATTTCTTTTTGAGTGAAATTTTAAATCTTCACATGTAGATAAAAGCACAGTAACACACAAAATACTAATAATAATAACATTTCTAAGACAAGGGAAGTATAAAGTTCACTGCACTCTTTTGTATATATATGCATATATTTTTCTTTATTATTCCTGATATCTATCCATAAAGTAGATAGATACGAGAAGGAGTGGACTGTCCGTGCGTGCATGCATGTCTCGGGGATGAGTGGGTGGCGGGTCGGGGTTGGTAGAGCATGTATCCATGTCAAGTTAACTACAAAGGCTTACTATGTTTAGATGTTCGTGTCTTATAGAAAGTAGTTTCTATTCACACACACACAAAAAGGGACAATATTTTTACGCCTTTCTTCCACATAAATCAACACTTAGACAAATAATACACATGCGCCATTTTCCCTGTCTCTTATTTTCCACTTATGGTCTTTATTCAGTGAAATTTGAACATTTGGAAACTTGTGAAAACATAAATAAACATAATACTAGTAGATGGGATGGGATAGGCAGACAAACAGATGGATAGACAGATAGATAGATAGACAGATAGATGAAGAGACACATAAACCAAGGCTTTATATCACTCTTACTAGTTTTTGTATATCACCATTATTATATTATGTTATATTATATGTATGTAGACATATACACTTATATATATCAAGTGCTGATTGTTACTGCCGTGGACTGTGCCGTGTCTATTACACTTACCACCTCTCTCTATATATACATACATTTCCCATGTTGTAATTTGTTAATCTTTCATAGTAATATATAATGTATAAAATTTATTTTAACATATAAGTGGTGAAAGGCCCTCTGGACACCACACTGACTGGATGATAACAGTATTTATTATTATTATTATTTATAGTATAACTATATTACTATTATTTCACTTCTAATGTTACCATGTCCCTATTGTTTTATATTACAAGTGCATTAACACTTTTTTTCTCTCTCAGTAAAGTACACAATATCTGGTGTTTTTTCGGTGTGTTTGTGTTTGTTTCTACAGTAATTTATGATCCCTTGTTTCTATTATCCTGTTATCACTAAAATCTGACATAAATCCACACATATGTGTGTTTGTATTCTTCTCTGTGCATATTTCAGTAACTAGGTCACTTTAGTTGCTCAGACAGATTTTTATGCGTAGTGTGCGCCAACTTTTTCACCTTCCCCCCAAGCTACACCATCTTCGTCGCGACCATCGCTTTCTTTTAACAAAGAAGGCGTATTGTAATGATGTGTGTGTGTGTGTGGGCGGGTGTGGGGGCGTCTGAGTGTGTGATTAGTCTTTTCTCACTTTCAAACACAAAGTGCATTGCACTTCTTATGTGTTATCATGTTTGATATCACATTCGAGTTGGGGATTATTTTTTTTAATTTTAATTTATATGAGACCTGTGAACTCTGTGTGAACTTTTCTCTGGATAAGTACTTATTCACTCGTGGTGGTGGTGGTGGTGACTGATAATGGATACTTGTCTGAAATCATAATAATAAATCAGACAAGTGTGAATTGTCTAATCGATATTTATATATATGTAGTAGGATCTGGGGATTATGCTGCTGGTCCTGCTGCTGTTATTGATTATCTCATACTATTTGTCTGGTTTACGAATTAGTTATGATAAGTGTTCACTTAGTATATGGATTACAAACCTGCATGATAAGATAAAATTTTTCATTTGGAATTTACGAGTATGGAGTTGCTAGCCTCATGCCCAACCTCCTTCATTTTGTTAAACAAGCTTGCTCAAAACTCAAACTGACTGTTGGGTTGTCAAATGGCTCCATTCTATTTTTTCTCGGGAAGAAAGCAGTACACTGTATGTCAGGGAAAGTCGCTCACTTCATTGCTTACTGAGGCTGGTGTCCCTCAAGGCGCTGTCCTTTCTCCTTTTCTGTTTTCTTTCTTCTTGCATGACTTGCCTAATACTCTGATAATGAAATGAACTTTGTTACGTATGCCGACGATTTAACTGTTTCAATGCTTGTTAACTCCAAGCTAGACTGTGCTAAGATGAACAGCTTTCTATCAGGAATTAGCAAATGGTTTTCGTCTAATGGCCTTAAACTAAATCCTCCTAAATGTCAGACTGTTAATTTCAGTTTCTGATGTAAGAGAAAGTTAAATGAAGCCATTGGTTCCTATGACCCTTACAAAATCGATGATACTGATATAGAAATCAAGTCTGAAGTTAAGTATCTTCGATTAATTCTCTCTTCTGACCTATCCTGGTCCTCCCATGTCTTAGCGATTTCTAAACGAATATTTCGTCTGACTTTTTACGTTAAGAATTTAAGGCACTCAGGCATAACTCAACCAAACCCTCCTCTTACAGTTTGTCAACTCGTGTATTTTACCTATTCTTCTTTACTCTTCACCCTTATTCTTTCCTGAATTGCATAAAAAGGACTATGTCATACTTCGTAGAACTCTGAAGACTAGTTGTCAGTAGTACGAATGGTATCCCATTGGGCCACATCGTTGACATTGTCACTGATAGGCACTTGATGTCATGCAACACATTCGCTAAAGGAATTTTGTCAGACTGTGATCACCCACTCTACCCGCGGCTCCAACCTTGTATCTCCTCAGGTAAAACAAGAAGTCTTTTCAGTAGAATTTATGCACGTACGTCTAAGTATAAAAATTCCACTATACCATATTTGGCTGCACGTATTTTATGTGATGAAAATAGTGTCAAACATAAACTAACTAACCTTCTTGGCACCACTAAATAAACCATTTCCTTCACTCTTAAAGCATCAAACTTTGTTGTTATTGTATTTCTTATATTTATAATCCTCTCAATTTTTGTTTTGTTTATTTTTTTTTCATAAGTGTGAACATAATTTAAGCTGTATTATAACTGTTAATTTTGTATTTCCCCTCACCATACTATATCAACAGAACATCAGATCCAATAATCTATAACATGTTAAAGTTTCCAAACTGAATCGACATTACCGTTTGAAACAAACTTACTGTTATTATTATATTTAATAATCTCAATTCATGCTTCGAATATTTTTGACTTCATATCGTAAATGTGGACAAATTCCTCCTGTTAATTTCGTTTTAATTTTATTTATATTTTGAGTAAATCAGATGCAATATTGTGACAAATGCTGAGAATTCCATTCTGTATTATAAGTACTGTTATTGGAATAAAGTAGATTATTATTATTATTATTATTGCCAGTCTTATTACTAGCTTAAAGAGGTAAAACAGAGCGTTGGTAGCCGGGGATCAAACCCCAAACCACCTGCGTGGTTGGCAAGCATTCTACCGTTGTGCCACCGACGCACAGAATGAATAATGGAGCATCGGATTTCAGAAGTACATTGCCGTTTCACTGTTTACTGAAGTCTGTTTTAGCCAGCTTTACGACTGTCCACAATCTTTCATTTCTTATTCACACGTTTCCATCCTTTTCACATTGAAACGCATGCCTAACCCATCGCTTTCCATCGCAGTTCTACTTTAGGGCCTACCTGGTGCGTGGTATCATTCAACGGTCCCCTGGGTGTATGTTCGATCTATCTCCATAGGTACTCGGTTGGTTCGTTCGTTGCTTGACACGTGTCTATTGTTACTTATCCTTCGTGTCATCTGACCTTCAGTATGGAGTGTTTGCATCAGCCTGTTGAAAGTACTTTCGACGGCGCTTTCAATAAATCTCTGAATCATGTAGAAACACTGACTTGATATTAGTGTAGAAAATTGAAATCTTGTTCATCATACAAGGTACATTAGACTTCCATCCTGATTTGACAGTGATGAACGACTGTCTTTCTTTCCTGATTGTGTCTGGCCTTGAAATCCTCATATGTACCGCATACCTAAAGTTGAAACAATGCTGCCTAGATCTGGTAAAAGAAGGAGTCGACTTCCTTTACATTTCTTCGATTGCTAGTGACGGTCATCAGGCACCCTCATCATCTCTGTATTCTTCTCTCTGTCTCTCTTTTTTAGTCGAATGTTTCCATCCTTTAAAGTTCGTGTCACTGGATTGGATAGAAATGCCAAGTATATTATGCTGTTGGATATTGTCTCACGGGATGAACATCGTTATAAATTTCAAAATGGTAAATGGACAATTGCTGGCAAAGCAGATCCTGAACCATATCGTAAACCGTATATTCATCCAGACTCTCCGACAACCGGTGAAGAGTGGATGCATAAACCAATATCATTTCATAAATTAAAATTAACAAATAATGTTGCCGAAAGACAATCTTTTGTAAGTTAGTGTATTGTTATTTTATTTTATTTTTTTAAATATGGGTGTACGTGAGTAGTGTCCAATTTTCTTTTCTATTTTGATACCTCTGGGTTCCCCAGTGGAACATGGGGATCTAAGGTTTGAAGTTTTACTAGCAGTGGGGATGGGTGCGTCGGTGGCATAGCGGTTAGGACGCTAGCTGACCATGCACATGGTCCGGGGTTCGATCCCCGGCCACCGACGCACTCTCTTACCTCACTAAGCCAGTAATAGAACGGGCAAAGAGGGAAGGTTGGGTATGAGGCTAGCAACCCCACTCTGTTAAAATAAACACTGCTACAGAAACTTCAAGTCACTAGCTTGAAGCTGTATGTTCCACTGGGAACGTGAAGGGATAAAAAAATGTAATACGGGGATGGGTTTGCTAGCTCCTCGCCCCTCCAAGCTAGCCTCCCCTATTTTCCGCTTTGAAGACTGGTAAAACCGCCTAGTGATGTAGTATTATTTAGTGATGAAACTTTGAGCACAATTTATTGCGCATATTTGTGTCGGTGCATCAGCCGGGAGTCGAATTCGAACCGTGTGAATGACTGACCAGCATTTTACCATTGAAGACAATATTAACTCAAAAAAATAGTCTAGCAACTTGGAAATCACTACTGAGTTATATGAAAGAAAAGGCGCTCAGTGAAGAGACATTCTTTTCAGTGAAATCGTTCTCAAGCTATACAACTACATATTGTTATTTATTGTTTCTTTTGAGTTTCGAGTGGAACATAGGGTTTCAACAACACAACTCCACTTTCTCCTATTTTCTGAGGACCTCTTTAGCTGGGCACACGACTGCTGATAATCTCTTATCTCCTCCTCCAACTCACATGATCTCCTCCGTGTCACCCTATCACCGAAGCCCTACTCGTCGTTTCTCATTCGCGTTCCACTTGAGCGACGGCTTACATTGCGCGCGTTGTATCCCCAGAGTGTGCCTAATCCATCTCTATTATCTTCCACATTTACTGGCTGGCTTGTTCGCATAGTTTCTTGTTCCCGATTCCTTCTGGCCACTTGATCCTCAATATGGAGCCAGAGAAGTTGGCGGTTAATGATAAAAGTCTGAAACCTCTTGGAAAAGCACAGTCACATTTATAAATTGTCTTGGCAACAAAAGGAGTATGTGCAACGATGTGTCATAAGAATTTTAAATTTCATTTAGCTGCTTACGTAATATAAAAAGTGTTTATAGGGTAGAAATTGAAATAAAGTTAGTAACGTAAGTGTAAGACTTGGGCAGACTACTTTGGAAACTACTTCAACACTACGGAGTACCTCGAGTATTTGTCAACCTCATTCAACAGCTGCCTATATGCCAATGCCACGTGTCAAGTGATCCACAACGGAAAACTCAGCGAGACGTCCAAAGTTCATACAGGAGTAAGACAAGGCTGCCTACTTTTTATCACCCAAGATGATATTCTTAATTATGGTGGACTGGATTATGCGCCAGACTGTTGGGGGTGAGGAGCCAGGAATACGCTGGACCCATAAGAAGACTCTAGAAGATCTGGATTTCGCGCATGGATGATATATGTCTAATGTCACACAAACTCGAAGACTTGCAAGCGAAAACCGACAAACTGGCAGAAGAGGCTGGAAGTGAAGACGGATGGAGGTGATGAAGATAACCAACCAAAGGCAACAACAATAACAACCAGCACTAATCATCATCAACAGGAGAGATTTAACAGAGGTTGCCTCCTTCACTTATCTGGTTAGGAAGTATCGTTTCAACTACAGGTGTAACGAACGAAGACGTCAAAGTGAGAATCGGAAAGGCGGGATACTCCTTCATCAACCTGAAATCAGTTTGGAAATCTTCTGCATTGCACTCTGCATCAGTATAAAGAAGAAGATTCGGATTTTCATTACCAATGTGAAGTCAGTCAGTTCTTCTATATGGGTCAGAAATTTGGCCGGGGGGTCACGAAAACGATTTCTAACAAGTTACTTTGAGGAAGCTGTCGAAAGGCATCGCGCGCAATGCAGGCCATCCTTCGAGTGGAATCACAATGGGAAGCGACGTGTGGGTCGTTGATGCGAGGGCGAGCTGCAGGAGATCGTGTGAGTTGGAGGAGGAGATGAAATATTATGGGAAATCGTGTGGTTAGCCAGCTGAAGAGGACGCCAGAAAACAGAACAAAGTGGATATGTGTTGTTGCAGCCAGCCCTATGTTCCACTCGTAACGCAATGGAATAATAACAATAATAATAATACGACTTGAGCATTGTGGTAGAATGTGATACCATATTAGATAAGTTTACTCGATATGACGCACACTGCTACAGTGTGATTATGAACAGCAGATTGTTCTCGAACCACCATCCAGTTATTGATACTGTACCATTGTGTGTTGTTAACTAAGTCACATGAGTGATGTAATATAATTGACAAGACCGGGTAGAATTCAACTAAAACTAAATGAGAGTCAAATTAGCGACAGTGATAATGAGGCGGCAAGAAGTCATTAGGAGAGGTAGGAGAAAACGATACAATTAAAAAACAAAACATGTATCTGCGGGAGCAGTTACATTGGTAAGACAGAAAGAAGGGCATATCTACGATTTTCTGAACATGTACCAAAAAGCTTACGTCTAAAGGGAACAAATTCTTTAAACAGTGCCATCTCCTCGACACGGGTCATGAGGTGGAAATCGAGAAATCCTTTAAAATTATCAATAGACAAAGGAGCTCCATTCTCCTCAAGTTTGCCGAAGCAATTTCTATCAAACGCTTCAATCCAGATTTATGTGTTCAGAAAGAAGCAGTTATTAGTCTTTCCTTGCCATGGTAACTCGATGTCTTTATTCTCTACTCTGATTACGTAATCTTTGTCTTTAACCTCACCCTTCTTTTCTATAATCTGTAATATTGCTTGCCTCTTGTTTCTGTGACGTGATTTGAACTCAGTACATCATTACCAAATTTATTAGTTACTCATCATCTTACTCACCTCTCGTCTTTATTACGTAACTTTTTTACCATTGTATGCATACATTTATTTTGACTTGAACTGCCTGTGTAAAAACTATATAAGCACAATTTTCTGAGCACTTTTCACTAATTGTAGAACTTTCTGTCAACTGACAACATGTAAAATTTGCAAGTATGTTAAAACTTTTCTGTAAGTAAACCTCACAATTTATTTAGGTTGTAAGCAGATGAGCTGATGAGAAGCCGACGAAATAAATGATGGTACTATATTATTCTGCACAAACCACTGTTGTTCTTGCTTTATTTAAAAGACAAAAATTATGTATCCACTGCTATAACAGATTACGTCCATTGTAGATTTAATAATTGAACAACCCTCAGGATTTAACACGTGAATTACCGTGGCTTCCGCATTTTGAAGAACTTTGATTCACAATTTTGTAGATAACTGTGAAGTTGCTTCGTGGGTTAGTTTGCTGTCTGGATGCGAGGGGATTTCTTTTCTCCTTTATAAAACCATGAGTTTAAGCGTTTAATGATACGTTTGGATAGCACACAGTGGGTACGGCCGACATATCTAGCCCTACATGAGCAGTTGAATTGATAGATGCACAATGATGAAGTGGCCAGCAGTGGTAACTTATCCTTCACAATGATGGGAATCATTGGTTTCGTGGAGAAAGTTAGTTGAAGTTTAACAGCGAAGAAGGATTTCTTCAATGTACAGGACAGATGGTTTCTTAGTATTTCTGCCCATGAGTCTCTTTTGAAATTTAAATTCGGATAGGGAATTCTTATAGGGAAGATAGTGTAGGTGGTTTAGGCTTCATAGGTTCTGGGATGAAATGTTCTGGAAGGGGAAGTCGTTTTCAAGTCTTCAGGATTATTATTTCAAAAAATTGCTGAAGTGATCAGCCTATCAGTCATGCTAACTGGTCATCTTCCCCCCTGAGTGTTGCTAAAACACCTGCTGACCTAATGAATTACTGGGGCGTATTCATTTTATAGTGAGAACTGGATTTTGTCCAGGTGACTGAATGGCAGACGGTCTTGGGTTACATCACTAGTGGAGTGATGGATGTGTACCACTGAACACTCGCAAACCGCAGTGAAAGAAATGGCTGTCTGGTACTCTCTGGTGGTTCCTAATGGTTCTCTAAGTGATGTCAGTTCGTGACCAGTCTTCATACATATATATTTCTATTTATTTCCCCCATTTTACTTACTTTTTAGCAAGCTGTGCTGAATTCAATGCACAAGTATATACCAAGATTTCATATTGTTCGTGCAGATCATTTGAATAAAATGAATATGGCAGATTTTGTTACATTTATCTTCGACGAAACAGAATTTATTGCTGTGACAGCTTATCAAAATGAAAGAGTAAGTTAAAAAAATTACTCTTTTATCTGTTTTCTCCATTCACTTCAAGATGAATCAAGAATCCAAGTATTGATTTGTAGGGATTTGATTGATTTGTTACAGGATTTCATCATGAGCTAACATCGGTTAGAGAACCCCATTGGAAAACCTGCAGGGAGTACTGGCAGACAGCTGTTTCGTCCTGGTGCTTGGGGCTCTTCATCAGTATGCACCCACCGCCAGGATTCGAACCAAGGACCTTCTGATTACAAGGCCAGCAAGCTCGTAGACCATTAAGCAACCACTGGGAGCCGATTCAATGGCCAGCGCATAAAATTATAACTTCTGCCAATTCACGACCAGTAAGGTATAGCAGGTTGGGTGTGAAGCAAAATACTTGCCGAAGACAGTGGTTAGTGGTCGTGCTATGACGTGAATTGGCAGAAGTTAGAATTCATGCACTGGCCATTCAGTCGGGTCCCAGTGGCTTAATGGTCTACGAGCTCGCTGGCCTCGTAGCCAGAAGGTCCTGAGTTCGAGCCCTGGTCGGTGGGTGCGTACTGCTGAAGAGTCACAAGCACTAGGACGAAACGGCTGTCTGGCAGTACTCCCTGCAGGTTTTCCAATTGTTCTCTAATCTATGTCAGCTCATGATGAAATCCTGCAACGAATCAAGAATTATTTTTAATGATGATGCTAATATATGGTAGAAGTTGGCAAGCAGTGAAGTCCTGGCATGGGCGTTTCGTTCTGTTAAGAGCTCATCGGCTGGATGTACCTAAATCCTATACAATGAGTGAGTGAAAGAGTGACTGATGAATTATGTTCCCACTTTGAATCCAACGCACCATCAATCATTCCCAATGTCAAGGCATTATCCCCTAGGCTACATGAACTACCTCTTGTGGCATGGCTATCAGTTGGTATCTTTTGAACTTGTTTTGTATTTCCGACTGATTTCCGGCATAGAAGCAACTTACACTTGAATACCCCTCAGTAGCAGTCAATGACCTCACAGATAAGTATCACGTTTAGATATGATCCTATCCGCATTCTTTGTCTTCTGAGTAGAGAATAGAGCTTCAAGTTTTGAGATGTGATTAGCCGTGATTTTTTTTGTTTTTACGCGATAGGGTTTCTAACCTAACACTTAACCTGCACTTTTGGGCTTACTATCGAGGCGAGACTTCAGCACCGGATCAGGATTCCCCAAGTGCTTATCACTGAAGCACTGACACACAAAATGAATGAGGTAGGGGAAGGGTACTGTACACCTATTTAGTTCTACTGCAGTGTGGTAAGATTCAGTCATATGAAGACTGATAAATTTCATTGTAGATTTTATCACGAATTCATATCAGCTGTTACCGATGGAATCCACTGTGTCGAGTGTGAACCGAATGCTCATCGATGCCACTGGCTGACGATAGTGCTATATAACAACAGTCAATAAGGTAGCCTTTTAACCTGAAGTTTATGGCTCCAAACTATGACTGATTTTTTTATTCCTTCACGTTCTCAGTGGAACATAGGGCACCTTCAAGCTAGTGATTCAAGTTTCTGTAACAGTGTTTATTTTAACAGGATGGGGTTGCTAGCCAGCCTCATACCCAACCTTCCCTCTTTGCCAAATCTATTACTGGCTTAGAGAGGTAAAGCAGTGGGTCGTTGGCCGGGGATCGGATCCCTGACCTTGTGCATGGTAGGCAAGCGTCCTAACCACTGTACCACCGACGAGTTAATAAGTATGTACTGTTGAATATTCAATTGATCCTCTAACTGACATCACCTCATCACATAGCCTTCCCCTCATTACATGAAGGTATTGTGTTTGATCCCCAGTGGGGTCATAGATCTGTATAGACAACCACAGTGGAAAGGCACTCAAATGATTACGCCACACGATGATAGTTTGTGTAATTCTGATCTTGTAAAAGGCTAGGATGAATTCATTCCACTTTCCCGTCGATTGACTGGATCGAAGTGCTCGGTCTCAGGTTAACATGTCGGCTTCTTGTACAGATGCTTCAACGATGTCTGTGCATGTAATTAGAAGCACCTGCACAAGAAGCCGAAATGTCAACCTGAGACCAAGCACTTCGGTTTCCAATCAATCGACGGGAAAATCTAAAATTCAAATAAATAATTAATACGACCCATTGCACAAGAGGTGGCTCTCATGATTACCCAAGTGCTCTAGTGTATAACGCTTTGGCGTTTGAAACTATAGTCACTGAGTTCGAGCCTCAGTGGTGGGAACATCATCACTGACTCACTGGGGAATGCAGCTACATTCAATTGGCTGACGAGTCCCAAATAGGACGAAATGCATGTTGTCCTGGATTCCACTGCTAGTCACTTCAATTTAGTATAATCTGTTGACTAACAGTCTTACATCAAATATTTCTTTTTGTACTATTAAACTTCAGTTGAACTGATCGGTCTATGTGCCTATCAATCTACATATTTCATAAGTTTTAATTAATACTTTTAAGGGGATTGATCATTAATGAACGGTGACAAAAGTAGGCAAGACGTCATATACCTCATTATTATTATTATTATCATTATCGTTGTTAGACAAAGAAAGGCAAGCACATCCTGTAGAAGTATACATAAAGTCAAAGTAATTAAAACGGGGGTGGGTTGGAGTGATATTTTTATAATTTTCGACAAATACACACACATATAAAGGTAGCCATTTTTAAAGGGTATTTTACCCTGTATATTATCACAATTCATTCACTTCACAGTGTATGTCACCACTATAGGCGTTGGGGGGGTGGGGGCGTGTTAGCTGGCGCTATTCATTTAAGTGTGGGTATATACTCAGAATGGTAGGAGATCAACTTTCAACTTTCGACAGTAAACACGTGTCTATATACATACATATATGACACTGTTTAGAGTTGATCAGAACAGAAGATAATGATAGGCATTATTATTATTATTATTATTATTATTATTATTATTATAAATATTATCATAATATGATCTAGAATACGGGTTGTCTGAATTATCATAAATTCATGCCTTGAAAAGTTTCCTAGAAGTGTGTCGATAAACTTTATAGGGTATGTAGGAGGTGAGTTGAATCCGGGAGGGGGGAGGGGGTTGCGTGTTTCTTGAGATAAAATTATCAGAAATATAGTTAATAATAATAATAGTAATAATACACCCTATTAACAGTTATTCATCGGGTGTTGAGCCAGTTATTTCTGATGTAAACACTTGTTTAGTAAATTTGGGATAAAATTTCCCTTTCGTGTTTCCTTCCGCCTTAAATATCTTTCTCTATCTCCGTAAAATTTCAATGAAAACAGGTTTTTATGAATCCACTTTAGAGTTTTCATATTTTTTGGCTATCATTATCCTTATTACTAATGTCTAGACATTCCTTATCAGCTCTTCTGGCGTTCTCTTATCTCAAAAATCATATCAAAAATGATTTAAATAAAAAGAAATGTAAATTTTACAGCTTTGAATAATTATAGCTTATTTGTTTGATGATGGTAAAGTAAAGAAACAAATCAAAGACGAGTGTTTCGTCCCATTCTGGATACATCATCTGGATGTATATGCATTGATTGCCCAGTGTGACTGATAGCAGTTCATTTTATCAATATTATTTTCTATAGTTGATTTTTAAGGATTAGTTTTGTGTTTTTACGAGTTGATCACCGATTGATATCAGTTCGAGAAGCATTGAAGACCAGCCACAGGGAGTACTAGACAGCTGTTTTATCCTTGTGCTTGGGAATCATCGGCAGTATGCACTCGCCACCAGGGGTTCGAGCCCAGGACCTTCTGGTTACAAGGCAAGCTGGCTCGTATACCATTCAGCCACTGGGACCCGATTCAATGGCTCATGAATTCTAACTTCTGTTTATTATTATTATTGTTATTAGGGAATAAGTGCGTCGTTGTCACAGTGGTTAGGCCATGTACATGGTCCGGGTTTCGATCCGTGGCCACTGACGTACTCCTTTACCTCTCTAAGCCAGTAATAAAGCTGGTATAGGGGAAAGGTTGGGCATGAGGCTGGCTAGCAACCTCATCCTGTAAAAAAATAATCACCACTGCTACTGAAACTTCAAGCCTCTAGCTTGAAGGCGCCCTATGTTCCACTGGGAAAATTGAAGGAATAAAAGAATTAGGGAATAAACAGTACTAAAAGATATCCCTTGATATACTACTTATATCCACTTAATAATATATCACACAACACAGACGCACACTATACTACTGAACAGAGTCATAAAAAAGTCGGCATATAAGATAAGTCTGTTTGACATAACATACAGCAACGATACGAACACGGTGTATTACAGGCCACAGTCATATCAGTGGTATCCAAACGACTTCATAACTTGCTCAACTGCACATGTTTACTGTTGATTCAATGAACAAAAATTTGGTGATTAACCAACCTGTTTGTCCACTCTAACTGCATTATTTTTTAATACTTTCATCTTGTCCCGCTTTCTATTGTGGGATTACATGTGTAAATGAATGTGAGTTGCAATGCTCGAACTGTTTTCCAGATTTTAATTGCTGGATGGTGACTAGCAGTGGAATCCAGGACAACGCGCATTTCGTCCTATTTGGGACTCGTCAGCTAACTGGATGTACCTGCATTACCCAGTGAGTCAGTGATGATGCTCCCACCAATGAGGCTCGAACTCAGTGACCATAGTTTCAAACGACAAAGCGTTATCCACTGGACCTCCTGGGTAATCATGAGAGCCACCTATTGTACAATGGGTCATATCAGTTATTTAATTGAATTTTAGATTTTCCCGTCGATTGATTGGACAGAAGTGTTCGGTCTCAGGTTGACATGACGGCTTCTTGTGCAGATGCTTCGACGATGTTTGAGCATGTAATTAGAATTTAATTGGTGGATGGTGGCTAGCAGTGGAACACAGCCAGGATGAGCATTTCGTCCTATTTTGAACTCGTCAGCTGTATGTACCTGCATTTCTCAGTGAGTGATGATGTTCCCACCGAGGCTCCAGATTGTTCAACTTAGCAGAGTCAATCATTTTAGGCCTAATTGAGTTTCTGTATGTTTCAGTAATCTCACTGACGCCGCCGATAAACTAGTTTTGACCCCATGTAACTGACTCCACATTCATTATCGGATCCTTAAGCCTGTGGTGACAGCTGGCTGCTAGCCACAGTTGGTACACAGTAATTGACGTCAATGTTTATGTCCCCAATATAATGGTGATGAGAAAATGAGAATAAAGGCTTTGCGTAGGCGGATACAACAGTTAGCATATGGATGATCTGACAGTCAGAAAGAGATGCAAGGTTAACTTTTTGTGAGAAACAACCAATCAAAAGACTGTATTTTCTACTAACAATAATCTACAATAATGTACATTAAAATCTATAAATATGTGTTGATTTTCCTTAATAAACGATCTGCCCTTGTCTTCTATTGTTACAAGCTGATAAAATTTATCTCTAAGTAAGTTGATTGGTTTAAATGCCACCGTAATTCTCGACTTATTAAGAACCTTAAGAGAGGATTTCTGATATTCACAGGCTGACATGTCCTCTTGCTTGATTTGGTGGTTATAATGTCTTACTAGAACTCCTGGTAACTTTCTGTGTATACAGTATCACATAAATTATCAAGCGTTGTTAGGCAAGGTTTTGATTGATGGGTAAGCCTTACCTACGAGTTCACGTTGCAGCCGCAAAGTTCTGAGTTCGAACCCGGTGAGTGCATACTACTTTGAGAAAAAACAAACAAACAAACAACAGATGTCCAGTAATCCCTGATTTCCCCTATTCCTTTTGATTTCATTATTTAACTCTTCTAACTTACTAATTAGGCTTTTGACTAGGTTATGCAATCCCCATAACTAAATAATTTTACGTAATACAATAAATATACTAAGTTTATTATGTGATTGTTATTATTGTCACTATTCTAATGAATCTTCTCTGATGATTTATCACAAATTTCTTTTTTTTTAATTAAAAATTTTTTTTTTCCAATAAATTTTATTAGATAACTCAATTGAAAATAGACAATAACCCATTTGCTAAAGGATTTCGAGACAATGGCAGTGGACGTCGGGAGAAAAAGTAAGAGAGAGTTTAGATTTTTAATGCACAGTTACGATAACTATTATTTTTCTGGCTTTTGTAATGTTCACTTTTAAATATATTTAGAGTTTAAAACAAAACATAAATGATAATAACAAAGAAGGGCTTGAGGGAAAATCTGTGTTTGTATGTGAGTGAGTGTATGTGGAAACATACGGGCTAGTAATTAGTAGGGCATCCATTTTTATCAGGTAAACTTCGAAGGCAGTCAAGCTTTTTCTAGACTGTATGCGCAGAATATACGCCAACACCCACACATATGTTATAGTTTATTCTTATCACCATCTACAACTTCTCCTCTGAAGCATCGTCGTCTCCGATTATCTATCTACCAATGTTTTTTGTTTTTCAAATTTAAACAATTATATCTACAAATATAGAGGTTTAAAACGCCCTTCATTGTTTGGGGGCTTTTTGTCATCATCCTCATCGCCATCGCCAGAGAAAACACATTTAGCATTTCAGGGGGGGGTTGTAGAAGCAATATTTGTTAAATTTCCCTTCGACACCCCACTTTCTCCTCTCCCCTCTTGCCCAAAAAAATCTGATAAAATTGACGGTTACTAGGGGGGGGGAATTAGTTACACCACACCTTAGTTTTTGTTTACATAATGATGCGTATATTTCTCTTTTCAGTCTGTGTTGATTGTATAACCGCAAGCGTGGATTTGAATACTACTCTACTCTTTATTTTTCAAATTTCTATGTAAATATCATCATTAAAAATGGCGTCAGTTAAAAAGAATTGGTAGTTAGTGGACAACTGTTTCTCTTAGGCTCCAAATAGAAGATAAGGCTTGAGCAGTTCAATGCTATTTCATCCTGTTCCTTGTAGTCGTCTTTATTATTATCATTATTGTTTCCTTTAATTCCTAGAGGAACATAGGGCTTCAGCCGTGCGTCTCCATTGCGTTCTGTTCTCTGCTAGAGTCTTCACCTGGCTCCAAGTATGCCCACACGTTTTCATCTCCTCTTCGCATGACCTCCTCCAAGTCACCCTTGCACTGAAGACCAACTCGCCGCTTCCTTTTCGGGTTCCACTCGAGAAATGGCTTGTCTAGTGATGTCACTTGATGGATTGTTTCCTCAGAGTATGACCAATCCATCTCCATTTCTCCCTGCATATTTCTTGCACAATCGGTTCCCGCTGAGTTGGTTCGCTCCCAGAGATCCCTGTTGCTGATCTTTTCTGGCCGGCCATCTGATCTTGAGTATTGAACGAAAACAACTGTTAATGAGGGTCTGTAGTTTGTTTGAGATGCTCTTTATGACGCGCTGGCCAAGTCTCTGATCCGTATAGTGAGCGGCGCTGACTGACTTCACATTGGAGTTGAAAATCCGGATCTTAATTTTGATGCTGAGGAATGCTGTTGACCTCCAAATAGACTTGGGAGTAGTGAAAGCTTGTCTTGTTTTCCCGATTCTTGCTTTGATATCGTCGTCAGTTCCGCCTGTAGTTGAAACGATGCTTCTCAGGTAGGTAGGTAGGTAAAAGAGGTTGTTTCTTTCAGGGTCCTCCCATTTATGCTGACTGCTGTCTGTTGTTGCTGTGGCTGTTGATGGTGTTGCCCAGGAATCTTCATCACCTCCATTTTCTCTATGTTCACCTGGAGTCCTATCTTTGATGCTTCTTCTGCCAACTTGTTGCTTTTCACTTGCATATCTTCAAGTTTGTGGGAAATCAGACATATATCATCGGCGAAGTCCAGATCCTCCAAGATTTTTGTGTGGGTCCATTTTATGCCTGTTTCCTCATTGCCCGCTGTTTGTCGCATTATCCAGTCTACTACAATCAGGAAAATCATTGGCGATAGTAGTCAGCCTTGTCTTACTCCTGTCCTCACTTCGAAGGATTCCGTGAGTTTCCCGATGTGGATTACTTGGCATGCAGCGTTGTCGTACAGCTGTTGGATGAGATGTATAATTGTCGGTGGCACCCCATAGTAGCGAAGTAGTTTCCAAATCACCTCTCGTCGTCGTCTTTAGTCGCTTCCAAGATCACCTAGAGGCTCTTATCTCGTCCTCACAAAATCTCCTCTACATGTTACCCTCAGACCAATACTCAACATGTCGTTTACCATTTGGGTTTCACTCCAGCAATGGCTTGCTTCGTGCATGATATCACTCAGTGGTTTTGTCAGCGTATGTCTGGTACAGCTTCATGTTCTTTGGGGGTATTTGTTGAGTAATAGGCTCCAAAAACAGTACTTATATAATACAGAATGGAATTCTCAGCATTTGTCACGATATTGCATCTAGTTTACTCAAAAAATAAATAAATAGAAGTAACCACAGGAATTTGTCCACTTTTACAGTAGGAATAAAGTCAAAAATGTGCAAAGTACAAAATGCGAATAATAACTATGACAGTAATAATAATAATAGTGGGATTTGTTTCAAACAATATTGTCGATACAGTATGGAAATTTTAGCGTGTTATAGAGTATTGAATCTAATGTTCTCTTGACATAGCAGCATAGTGAGAGGAAAAACAAAGAAATAACAATTATTACAGAGATTAAATGATGTTTACACTTATGAGAAAATAAACACAAAAATGAGAGGATTATAATAATAATAATAATAAGAATAATAACAGTAAAACTTGGTGTTATAAGGGTGGAGAAGGTTAGTCAGTTTGTCCCTGACACTATTTTCATCAGATAAAATACTTGCCAAATATGGTACAGTGGACGTGCACGCGCATAAAGTCTTCTAATGAAATGACTTCTTGTTTTACCTGAGGAGACACAAGGTTGGAGCTGCGGGTAGAGTGAATGCTCAGAGTCTGACAAAATTCTTTTAGCGAATTTGTTGCATGACATCAAGTGCCTATCAGTGACAATGTCAACGATATGGCCCAATGGGATACCACTCGTCCTACTGACAACTAGTCTTCAGAGTTCTACGAAGTATGACAAAGTCTTTTTTAAGAAATCCAGGAAAGAATAAGGGTGGACAGTAAAGAAGAATAGGTAAGATGCAACAGTTGACAAACTGAAGGAGGAGGGGTTGAGGTATACCTGAGTCTCCTAACTTGTTAATGTAAAAAGTCCGACGAAATATTCTGTTAGAAATCGCTAAGACATGGGAAGACCAGGATAGATCTGAAGAAGGAGTTAGTTCAAGATACTTAACTTCAGACCTGATTCCTATGTCGTTATCATCAATTTTACAACAGTCATAGGCATCAACAGCTTCAATTAACTTTCTTTTACATCGGAAACTGAAATTAACAGTTTGAAATTTGGAAGGATTTAGTTTAAGACCACTTGAAGAGGACCATTCCCTGACTTCTAATATAGAGCTGTTCATCTTAGTACAGTCTAACTTGGGAGTTAACAAGCATTGAGACAGTTAAATCGTCCGTATACTTAATAAAGTTCATTTCATCAGATTATTAGGCAAATCATGCAAGTCGAAAGATGACGGAAAAGGAGAAAGAGTAGCAACTTGAGGGACGCCAGCCTCAGTGAGCAGTGAAGTCGACGACTTCCACTGACATACAGTGTATTGCTTTCTTTCTGAGAAATAAGAATGGAGCCATTTGACAACCCAACAGTCAATTTGAGTTTCAGCAAGCTTATTTAACAAAATACCCCTAGATACTGAGTCAAAAGCAGATGTGTAATCTAGGAAGGTGCGGCGAACAAATTTAGCCCCCTTGTCTAAGTTGGAGACAGTGTTATGATGCAAGACTGTAGCTGCATCTAAAGTACTTCTACTGTGTTTATAGGCGAATTGTTTAGGATCGTTAAAGGCTTTAAGTGAAGGTTGAAGATTAAGTAAGAGTTACTTTTCCATAGCTTTTAGAAAAGGAGAGGTAATAGCAATAGGTCTAAATTTAAAACATTTTCCAGTAGGCGATTTAGGTATAGGTACAATTTTAATATCCTTCCAAACGGCTGGCACGACATTTCTGGAAAAAGATTCATTAAATATGTCCATGAGAGGATAACACAGCGTATCTGCTCATTTTTTAATAATAAGGGTAGGCAAACCATCTGGACCTAGGCTACGAGAAGGGTTCAGCGACTGAAGACATTTTAGAACGTCATTTGTATTGAAACCAGGGAAGCTGCTTTCATTAACACTTGTGACACTAGAAAGCTTGGCATTTGTGGGAGAATATATGAAAAGCTTGTTTAGGGTACACACATCAAATGAATAAGGAATACTGTTTATCTGCTTACTATCAGTAATTTCTATGAAAAGTTTCCACATATATTAGAAGCGTTTTTATGGGATATGAACTTCTGGTTATAAACTGAATTCAACCTCTGCATTTTTAGACTTGATTAAGATTGTTATTAATTGTTTTCACACCAATATTATCCTTCATTTTATATAACTTTTCCACTTTCTGGGTTGGTTCTCTGACTGCCAGAGTTGCTTTTTGGCCGTGTGATCTTCAAGTCTGAAGTTTATTCACATTTCTTTCGGTGATACACCAAGTCTCCTAAGCAAATAGAAACAGTGAGTAGCTTAACATTAGGCTTGAAAATCATAATTTTGTCACTTATCCTGATTGAAGCAAATTTTCACACTGATTTTAGTCTTGCTTTCTCGACGCGCCTGTATTTGAAGCGATGCTCTTTAGATAAGCGAAAGAAATAACTCCCTTCAAATTTCTCTGATTGATGGTGATAGATGCTTAGTTGTTGTTGGTATATGTACAAACGGTGTTGTCATATGGCGAACAACAAAACATCAACATCAGCGGTTTAATCGTAGAATACTCTGCAGCTACACTTGAATTTCGAGATCGATTACCGACTCAGGTGCTCCTAGAAGTCGTCTTACTGATCACTTCTGTTTTTATTCCTTCACGTCCCTAGTGGAACATAGAGCGCCTTCAAGCTAGAGGCATAAAGTTTCGGTGGCAGTGGTGATTATTTTTACAGGATGGGGTTACTAGCCAGTCTCTTGCTCAATCTTCCTTCTTTACCAGTCTTATTACTGGCTTAGCGAGGCCGGGGATCGAACTCCGGACCATCTGTTTGGTCGGCGAGCACTCTATCGCTGTGCCACCTTATTGATCGTAGGCCCAGGGAAAGGAGAAAATTGTATGTGGGACTAACAACCCAATCTCGCAAAAATACACGGCTGCTGAAACTTCAGTAAAAATGCAATGCCTCTGGATGCATCACTAAGAGATAAGGCTTCAAAATTCCAGAAAGGGTTTCAATTTCCTCGATGTTTTACAGTCACTGGGCCTGGTGGAACTAACAGTCACGATATCCAATCACTGGCCTACATTTGAAATGATCTTTCTCTGTTATACTGTCTAATTATATTATATAATCATGATAATATAATTCATGCGGCCTTCATTTCACCATTTTCTTTTCGTTTATATATTTTTTTCCAGAGGTTTACGACTACGCTATAAGCATTCATTGAATACACCAGATCCTTATGACCATTTCGAAGCTGTTGAAAGAGATCTGATCAGACAACAACAACAGCAGCAACAGCAACAGCAGCAGCAACAGCAACACCAACAGCACCACCACCAACACCATCACCAACAGCAACAACAACAACAATATCCAGCTGATTTATATGATTTAAATGAAAATATAAAATTAAGATTACAAAATACAATCAATTCTACAGCCTATACCAATCGATTATTATTTAATCATAATCTCAATAATAATAGTAACAATAATAGTAATAATGATAATTTGGGATTTGAGTTGAAATCAACCCCTTCTAATCGTCATTTTATCAATGGATCACCGAATTCTTCATCATATTATGGTTCACCGGATCATTTAACTTCATTTCCAGCGCATAATTCAAATATCCTCAATTGTAATAATAATACTATTAATACTAATAATAGTAATGGTAATAAATTAAACGATTTATCATTGATTACTGATTTATCAAGTGATAAACAGCCAGCTTCTAAAGATTTACTGTCTTCATCGTCTTCTTCATCACCGCATCAAATTTGGCCAGGTAGGAATCCTCTCTATCCCCCCCTCTCTCTTTGTCTTTCTGCTACTCTTAAGGGTAGATTTCTGTGACGATCTGACTTCAGTTAGAGAATCATTGAAAATCAGGGCTAAATCACGAATCGGGAGAAGATAGAATTCATGAGTTGGCCATTGAATCGGGTCGAGTCCCAGTGGCTGAATGGTATATGAGCTCGCTGGCCTTGTAACCAGAAGGTCCTGGGTTCGAAACCCCCGGGTGGTGTGTGCGTACTGCCGATAATTCCCAAGCACAAGAATAAAACAGCTGTCCAGTACTCCATGTGGCTGGTTTTCAATGCTTCCCTAACTGATATCAATCCGTGGTCAAACTCGTAAAATACAAATTTAATCCTTGGTACTAGATGGTTGGAGGCAATCGGCCACAGGAAGCCTTGGACACCACCTAGGTTTCGTGCTAGTTGGCACTCATCAGCAAGGCGTATCTGCAACCTTGAAGGAACTCATGTCCCTTCTGAGATTCGAACCCGCATCACCCAGTGCTGCAGTCAGAGACGTTACCACTGAGCTATTCAGACTCGCGATTGACCTCCTGTAGGACTGTATTGGATATTTTTGATTGAACACTAGTCAGTAACTAGTGTAATGTGTCTAGTGCCTTGCTGATGAGTGCCAACTAGCACGAAACCTAGGTGGTGTCCAAGGCTTCCTGTGGCCGATTGCCTCCAACCATCTAATACCAACAATTCACAGTGAACCGTAATGGTGAGCCACCTAGCATGGTGGTCACATTGCAAACATGACTAATAGAATTCAGTCTGCACCGAAGATAGGACTAGATAGACACATTACACTAGTTACTGATTGGTGTTCAATCAAAAAAAAATTGGATCCTTACAAACCAACTCTTCAATATCAGTTAGCTGGTTCACTGTAGTTTAGTTCTCTTGCCTAGTATGTAGCCATTACTCTACAAATGATCCAGTTTAAAAACTAAAGGTTAGAAGTAAGCAGGTTACCAGTACTCACGATTCTCCTAATGATGTTAGTTTCTTTGATATTTCTATTTATAAGCAATATTTATAGTATTACTTTTACTTCGAAGAGGTAGTTAGTAGTATATACAGACTATATTAATATTTAAACATTTTTATCAAGTTAAATTGCTCTATTCCTTTAACTCTCATTTTGTTCATCCCTTTGTATTGTGATTGGAACATGGGCGTTCAGGTTTGAAGCCTTGAAGTTTTAGTTACTAGGCTCACATCGCTCACATCCGACCTTCCCTCTTTTCTTGGCTTATTATTGGCTGGTAAACTGGACCAGGTTTAGAGTGAGTTGGTCAGGAATCGAATCATGGACTACGTGGCGCAACTATTAGCCACTGTTACGAGCGAGTGACCAGCCTCTTGCCAGACTTGATGAAGCGCACTGGTCACGACTTCTCGCTAGAACTTCAGATGACGATTTTTTGTATACAGCCAGTTGCTAATGAGTATCAAATTAATTTTCAATTGTCAGTTTCGTAGGGATTTGATTGGTTACCCGTTTGATTACAAGATGATCTCGGTAAGAGAAACACTGATGGTTGCGCCAAATATCACGAATTTGCATAAGGTGGAATTCATAGGTTCGCCATTGGATCGGATCTGAGTGGTTAAATGGTCTATAACATCGCCTTGTCACCAGAAGGTCCTAGGTTCGAACCCCGTTGGTGGGTATCTACTGATGAAGAGTCAGTTCAAGGCACTGGGGTGAAACATCTATCCAGTACTCCCTGTTAATGCTCCATTGGTTCTCTTTGTCCGAAAACCTATAACCAATAAAATCCTCGCAAACCAACATTTGGAAAGATTCAATGGATTTAATTGGATGATTAAAACAACATGACATGATGACACATTCTGATGGATGAGAAATCCGATGGTCAGCTTAGTGATTCAAACAAACCGCCATCCGATCAAGGTTAACCACGTAATTAAAACCCAAGTAATTCCATTTAACCACTTATCTGGAGTACAACGTTTTTAACGGAATAAGACAGTGGCTGTAAAAGGTCAACAAGGTCGCCTTATGACCTTAAGATCCTGTCTTCAAGCGCTGATGTGGGAGGTTTGTTTTATGCGTCAGTCGCTAAGTAGCAGAATATTCGCCAACCAGGCCTCAATTGGCTCTGGGTTCAGTTCCTGGCTGACGCGCTCCTAGATTTGCTGACTCTATAATAAACTCGAGGTAAAGAGGAAGGGTAAAAATAAAAGAAAAGACCCACTGCCACTGAAATTTTAAAGCTCAAACTTGAAGCTGTAAGTTTCATTTAGAATTCTAAGGAATAAAATAAGAAATTTATCATTATACTACTGAAATTACTAATGCAGTTCCTGTTTCATTAATTATAGGTTGTTTCGATCATATCTCACCGACTAGTGGTACATTTATCCCGACAAGTTTATCACGGAGTCAGCATACTGTACATCATTGTCCAAAAATATGCAAATCAGTGTATTTAACCGAACTGGATAAAATTAATAGTTTATCTACTGACCAGTATACTACTGAAATTCAAAATCAGCTATCAACACAATATCATTGTCAAAGTAATCAACTTGGTGATGCACATACTACTAGTACTACTACTACTACTATTAATACCACCACTTTCACTACTACTACTCCTAATTATAATAATAACAGTAAGGGATTTGTAACATCTGGTTTACCATTCCTGTCTATTATCGACTCGTCTTCATTACTGCCTTCAACAAAATCCCTGAGAACAGTGACGAAAACAGAAACACCAACAGCAACACCAACGATACCAATAAATCCGACAAATTATCTTCAACAATTGCCTCAGCTCGCAGCGTCATCATCTGCTTTCAGTGCAATTTCAGCCCTTAGTCGAGGTGATTTCCAGTTGATTTCAGAGAATTTAAAACGGAATTATGAAGAGATGAATAGATATTGTCAAGAGGAAGAGCTTACAACAGTACAGAGTCGTACTACTTTCGATGGAGTAAGTTATTTATGGGATAATTTTTATAATTCTATGAAAATATTTATCGGTGGTGAACTCGATTGAGTGGAATACTACTTCGATTGAGTGTATGGGTTGTTTTTTTAATTATTTTTATTCCTTTATGTTCCCAGTGGAACGTAGGGCTACTTCAAGCTAGACGCTTGAAGTTTCAGTAGCAGTGGTGTTTGTTTTTACGGGATGGAGTTTCTAACCTCAAGTCCAACCTTGCCAATTTACTAGTGTTATTACTGGCTTAGAGAAGTAAGGGAGTGCGTTGTTGGCCGGGGATCGAACCTCTATCCGCCTTTCGCTGTGCCACCGACGTACGGTTGTGCTTATAGTTATAAGCCATTGTGTAGCATTTGGGTCCAGAAGGGGACATCAGAATTCGGCAGTACATCACCATTTCAGCGAATTCTCTGAAATCTTTCTTAGGTGGCTCTACGACTCTTGATTCATTGGCTTTCATTTTCTCCTGACACGATTACCTTGGACACGCATTTAACTCAACATTTTCCGTTCGAGTCTGGCGTGTGATTTCACGCAGCCGTCTTCTCTCACCATAAGACCGATCAATCTTGCCTTTCTCCTGCATATTTGTAAGTTCGGTAATGGTTAACCCCTCGTTATCTATCCTTTCCAGATGGTTATCTTATCATCAGTATATATTTGGTAGTTCGAGGTAATCGGAAGGAAGCCCAGCTTGACCTTGGTTTCGTGCTAGTTGGCACTCACCTGTCAGTAAGGCGTATTTGAAACTTTCTGAGATTCGAACGTGTGTCACCCAGTGCTGCTGTCAGAGACGTTACCACTGAGCTATTCCGGCTCGCGATTGACTTCTTGTAGGACTGTATTGGGTACTTTGATTGAACACAGTAATAACTAGTGTGATGTGTCTATTCTTATCTTTGGGGAAGACTGTTGGTAACATATCTGACTGCATCACTCAATGGCTGACGCAGGTTTGAATCTCACAAGGGATATGAGTTCCTTCAAGGATGCAGATACGCCTTGCTGACTGGTGAATACCAACTGGCACGAAACCTAGGTGTTGGCAAGGCTTCCTTCCGATTGCCTCCAACCATCTAATATCAGCAATTCAAAGTACACCATGATGGTGAGTCACCTAGAATGGTGGCCACATTGCAAACGTGACTGACGAAGGCATTCAGTGTGCACCAAACAAAGGACTAGACACATCACACTAGTTACTAGTATCCAATCAAAATATCTTCAGTATGGATCGAAGACAGCTGTTGATGAAAGTCTGCAACAGACTGTTAGTAATGCTTTTAGTCACGCGTGTACCACATCTGTGAACTGTACAGAAACACTGACTAAGTTGACATCATCTTTGAAAATTCGGATCTTGTTCGTTATACTGGGGACTGGAGATTTTGATGCTTCTTTATATAAAACACAAAATAATTGAGCAAAGAATATCCTTTTCGATAATTTCCTCTTCTGGCTCTACAATTATATATAAATATGTTTATATACATAGAATATTCTAGAATAGTAGTCAATAACAATATTAGTGTTTTTTTAAATAATATCGATTTGTAAAGTAAGATCAATGGAATTACAGTTCATTAAAGATGCTTAAATAATAATAATAATAAAGATATAGTAGCAAACAGAATATCAACTAAAATTAGGAAAATTCCACAAAAATTGAGAATCATTCAAACCTAGATGGCTAGCGGGGTAAGGATATTGTCTGAACTGACTTCTTTTGGATGCTCAAATTAGGCTTCTTGATGTGGATCCCAACAGCCAGCCTCAGCAATATTTAGTAATCGAACTCTTAAGGCGAAATTGAGATTTGTTGGTATGCGGTAAATGACTTTGAAAGCTGCCTCTTTGACATCAATCTTGTGTTCTGTATCCACAAGATGAGATAGAATGGCTCTATGTGAATAGATTTTGTTTGTCCTTTACTTAACCATTATGCAGGGTGATGTTCGGAAATCTGACGAGAAACACGCCTAATTGTACAGTCTATGTAACCGGCTCACTCCACAGGAGCAGTTAATTTGATTGGTAGATACACACACATGGAAGAGGTGAAATTAGGCAGTTTACCTTTTACTCCCTAACGCAAAAGAGGAGTGGTTTTGAAGACACAGTATAATTCAGCAGGAGCAGCAGGGAATGCTCTTTTTACTGCATTTCTAAGGCGCTGTGTTAGTATCTCGCTGATGTCGCCCCCCAAGGAACTGCATTTGTAAGAATAAAGCCTTTTCAGGATCTGCTGGTACCCTCTTTATAGGATATGGTAAATACTATAACAGTGGGTACAACTCATAATATTAAGGAGCACAAATAGTATAATGCTTGATTTTTCTCAGAAAAGTAATGGTAATATTTATGCGACTGCAAATCTCACTGTAAGAGAGAGTTGTCATTTCAAATAGAACCATGTATTCCTATTTACAGGTTGGCTAAAATTTACTGTGAATTCTGAACTGAATTCAAAGAAGTCTGTAATCTTATCTTACTGTACATTACACCAATCCTCATCATTTCTGCTCTCCTCGGATAATATTCAGTTTAACAAGCTGTTAGAGTAATGAAATATTGAACGAACTAGGCTGCTTGTATCTAACAGAAACAGCGAATGTTTTTTAATCAATAATAGCCTGATATACCACTGTGACTCAGATTACTGATAAGAACATGTAAGTAGTATACAGGGTGACGTCTTCTTCAAAAAAACCTTTAGCAGAAGGGCGACGGATGAATTAATAAACAGGGCGGAAACGCAGGAATAGTTTGAATTCCCATAGAGCGCATGAGATTAAGTGAAAGAATGTAGAAGAAGACAGAAAATTGAAGTTTCACTGTAGAATTATTAGTATACCTTCACCCGGTGTTCTCCGTCACATTACGTTGTTGGTTATCTGATCACTGATCAGGTAGGTGGTAAATGGTAAGAGCTGAAAGAAAAATTGATTTTGAGCGAAAATATGTGACAGTCAATTTTTTTATTCCTCTTACGTTCCCAGTGGAACATACATAGGGCTAGTTCAAGCTAGAGGCTTGAAGTTTCGGTAGCAGTCATATTTATTTTTTTATGGGATGAAGTTACTAGCCTCATGCCCAACCTTCCCTCTTTACCAGTCTTATTACTGGCTTAACGAGGTAAAGGAGTGCGTTGGCGGCCGGGGATCAAACCCCGGGCCACCTGAGTGGTTGGCGAACACTCTACCACTGTGCCACCGACGCACCGTGTGACAGTCAATGGAGATTTATTACAGGATTTCATCATTAGCTGACATTAGTTAGAGAATCATTGGAAAACCTGGGAGTATTGGACAACTGTTTCGTCCTAGTTTGGGACTCTTCAGCAGTACACACCCACCACCCGGGTTCGGACCCAGGACCTTCTGGTTACAAGGTGAGCTCGTATACCATTAAGCCACTGGGACCCGGTCCAATGGCCAACCCATGAATTATAACTTCTGCCAATTCACGACATAGCGCGACCCCTAGCCAATGTCATCGGTGACGAATATTTGTCCTCACACCCGATCTGCTGCACCCTACTGGTCACGACTTCTCACCAGAACCCCAGGTAACTACCTACCTGAATAGGGCAAGTCGCTAGTGACCATCTCATTGATATTTAAGTGTTGGCTTGTAGGGATTTGATTGGTTAAAGGATTTCATCATGAGCTGACATCAGTTAGAGAACCATTGGAAAACCTGGGAGTACTGGGAGTCCTTTAACCAATCAAATCCCTACACGCTAACGCTTGAATGGAGATTTAATTTCGCACTTCATTGTGTAGGCCGAGATTCTCTGCTTTATTAAGTGGAACATACGCCTTCAAGCCTTGTAGTTATATTAGCGGTGATACTGTTAACGTTACTGGGCTTATTGTCAACTAGGTGAGTACTTCAGTTTGGTAATCGAACCTAGATCTTCCCCGTGTTTGGTAAGCTATCTACCATTCAACCGTTTGATAAGTGTTCAAATGGTAGTTAGTGTTTTTCGTATGATCTTAGACACTTATTTACATTTGAGTGAATGGTATTGATCATTGATGAGTACTATTATTATTATTTTCATTTTTTCCCTCCTCTTAAATGTTTTTAAAAAAGCAGCCCAAAAAGAAACAACATGTTGACAGAACATTTTTCCCCCCAATACATGAGTCCATCCCTAGACAATCGAATGACAATTACTCAATGTCCACGTCAATTAACAAGAGTCCATCAAATCGTATTCATGGAAGCAGTGGTGACGACAATAATAATAATGAAAGTATTGAAGAGAAAATAGTCCAATTAACTGAATGTGAAGATGAAGCGAAGCATTCAACAAAATTGTCTTGTCCTTCGTCGTTATCATCTTCATCCACAGCGCCTATTCTAAATCATCAGATCAACTCACAGAAAAGAGGTTTCAATATTAGTTGTCTATTAAAATGATGTCATTCAATGGATTTGCATTTTTTCCCTTTCTTTCTTTCTTTCTTTCTTTAATATTGCCTCTCTTCTCAGTTAATCAGTTAATCTGTGTATTATAACAACATAGAGTGATTACTACACACTTGTACATAGAGAACATATCTACAGATTTGTGTCTGTTATTCAACTCTTTCTTCCTTCTTCTTCTTCATCGTGATCTCCTCTGTCTTCTTCTGCTTCTTCTTCGCCTCCAGTCCCTTCCCTGCCCTACTTTCTTTTGAGTTTGTTATGTTCTTTCCTCGAAATATTTCTTTTCAAAAGATATTTTCTTAGTTAACAGTTCTCAAGTTATGTAAATAGACTTTAATGGACATTTCAGTCAAATATTAGTAGTAGTAGCAGTAGTAACAAAGCGTATGGAGACGACGACAGCAATGATGATGTAGAGTTTGATAACGGTGGAGTATGTATGACCTTCAGCTTTCATTATGATCATTATTCATCCATAGACATCCTCCACACGTACAGAGGATGCCCTTCTCTTTTTTTGATGAAGAGGGAGGGTATGATTGTGAGACGGTCTTGCTCCTCATCTTATTATTGTTGTTGTTATTGTCATTCTTTCCTCTAGTCCATGAAAAAAGAAAGAAAGAACGAATGTACATATTAGGGGTACACTTTCATATCTTTCTTTGCTAATTTGTAATCATATAAAATTTCGAAGCATAATAATAATAATGATAATAATAATAGTAATGAGGATCGAGGGAGCTTCAGTAGCGACATTTACATCCTACTTACTAGTCATTATGCTACTAGAGTCTACGGTCAGAATAGTCGACCGTTTTGGTGAATAAAACAAGTGGAACAAAATGTCAAAGGAAGCTTCAACAGTTGAACCTTCTTTATTTCTCTTTTTACTTATTATTATTACTATTTAGTATAATCTAACTGATGTTTCCCTTGTTCAGTTGTTACATTCGTTTGTGTGATTGTTTGTTTTCTTTTGGTTGGTATTTGGCTTTTTTTCCATTTTGTTATAAGTTAGTTTAATATCTCAATTTTAAATTAGGCGCAATAATGTTGTAAAGTGAAATTGATGAATTTAAACAAAAAAAGGTTTTTCGTCATCATCATCATCAATATCATCATCTTCATCAAAAATGTATCTCTTCTTGTTAATAATTACTGATAATAATAATAATAATACTTTTAATGCTACAATATTTAATCAGTGAATTTATTTTATTTTCATTATGTTGAAATAAAAATAAGAAAAAATATTAAATGAGTAAATATATCTATCTAACTACCTATCTAATATAGTATGACTTCTCTTCTTAGTGATTCATTGAAAAAATGGAGTACTGGATATCTTTTTTGACTTAGTTTGGGGCTGGTTCAGTAGCGGCCGTCGAACATATGGCCTTTAGGTTAGGGAGTAGATCAGCTGACCGTTCAACTACCAGGGCCATCAATTCTTACTGTTGTCGATTTGCAATATAGTACCACTGATATCAATTGCCTATAGTCTCTTATATCTTCCTCCATATCACCCACGCACCGAAGGCCCTCTCATCGTTTCGCATTTAATTTCCAATCGACTGATGGCCTGCATTCAGCATGATGTCATTCCATGGTCTCCTCAGTGTGTCCCCAATCCATCTACATTTCCTCCTACATATTTCTTCAGAAATGGCTTCTTGTTCAATTTGTTCCCAGCCAGCCAGCCAGCCAGAGTTTCTTCTTGCCATTTATTTCTAACCGGTCATTTGATCTTCAATATGGAATCAGCGAAGTTAGAAGCTATTGATAAAAGTCTACAATAACCCATTGGAAATGCTTTTCGTGACGTGTCAGCCAACTCTCCGACCCACATAGAAGAACTGACTGACTGACTCCACAGTGGTGCTGAAAACCCGAATCCTTCTCCTCTTTATGCTGCGACGGAATGCAGTGTACAAGATTTCCAAACTGGTTTCAGGTTGCCTTTCCGATTCTGGCTGGCTGGTCTTGGCATCTTCATGCGAGCTGTCGACCATAGTTGAAAGGATACTGCCTGGTCAGATAGGTGAAGGAGAAGACCTCTTTCAATTTTCTCCTGTTGATGATGATGATTGGTGCTGGTTGTTATTGTTGTTACTGTTGGTTGGTTGGTTGTCTTCATCACCTCTGTCCGTCTTCTCTGTGTTCACTTGGAGTCCTGTCTTCGCTGTCAGCTTCTTCAGTCAGTTTATTGCTTTTCACCCGCAAGTTTTTGAGTTCGTATGACATTAAACAAAATCATCTGAGAAATCCAGATCTTCTAGAGTCTTATTACTCCCTATGCCTACAGTTTGACGCATAATCCAGTTCACTACAGTTAGGAATATCATCATCAGTGACAATAGACAGCCTCGTCTTACTCATGCGTTCACTTCAAACGCCTCAGTGAGTTCTCCGTTGTTGATCACCTGACATATGGACATTTTCATATAGCCAGTTTTTGAATGAGGTCGATGAAGATTTGGGGCACTAATCTCTGCAGTGTTGAAGTAGTTTCCAAATCACTGTCGGAGGCCCTTTCAAAGTCGATAAAGCTGTTGAGGCAAAGAGAGAGGTTTGACTACCATTCTATTCTTGGCTTTGTTCTGTGATGACAATTACTCGTAGATTTGCGATTCGACCAGCACATGATTTGCATTTCCTGAATCCAGATTGTTCTGGGGTGTGTTTGGGACGGAGTTCTGCATCCAATGCATCCTTTGTTCTCTCCAAGATAACGCGACTTAATATTTTACTTGGCGTGGGTGGACAAGAGCATTATTTCACACTCCACTTCTTGCACAGTGAGGTCTGGGGCACCCTTCTTTGGTAGCTTGACAAGGTAGCCAGCTTTTCTACCAATCAATAGGTACCTTTCTTTCCATCTTAACTTTTTGCAAATCACTCAATTTATGTCTTTAGATATGATGGGAAGATTTATAGCTCAGTTGGATGATTTTGATGTAGTTGTGTTCTTTGAGCTGGATGGTTTATTTTCACAGCTCTCATTGCCTCCTACTAGGCAACATCCTCAGCACGTACTTCAATTTATCGAAGTAAGCTTTTAGATTTCTCCACGAGTCTGTTCGTTGTCTCTCCTGGTGAACGTGGTTGGTTGTTCAAGGTTGCTAGAACGGAAACACATTGTCAAATAAACAACGTTTCTAATAATAAATTCCGATTGAATTTGCGCATAAACTAAGACTTAAAGTTCGTCATTATGAAATAGTCATGCAGTAACTCGGCGGTTCAGTGGTAGACTGTTTGCTAACCACTTCACAGTCCCAGGTTTGACTCCCCAAATTTAGGAAAGGAGAAAAGGTTCGAGTATAAGTGAGGCTAACAACCCAATGCTTGAAACCTTATGTTCCAGTCGGGCTGCAAAGAAATAAAAATATGATGTTTCAATAGGTACTGAGAACTTAGTCTATCATCAAATCAGAACTGTAGAGTGATCAGATTCTTCTAGACTTCTACAGAGAGTCAAATAAAAGCACAGTAAAATTATTTCATTTTATGTGAATTTAACGCATCATGAAGAAATTTAAATTGAAGTCAATGACAATCACTCTATAGGTTTTGACCAGCAGTGAACCACATATTCGATGGGTGTTTCGTCCCGTCTGTTAGTCATCACCTGGGCTTGTCTACATGCTGTATAATGTGCTTAATATATATACACACATATCAAAGGTAGATAGGTATGGATAGATTAAAAGCAAGACAAATGTAACTTAAAAATTTCTATTGAGTCATCTAAAAGGAAAGGCGTTCAGGGCGGAGTTACTCCTCTTTTCAGCGATATCATTCATTCTCCAGCTATACAATCGCGTGTATATGTAGGAAATTGTCTTAGGAACAATACACAGTGTAGAAAGCGTTATTGTGGAAGGAAACAGAACAAAATTCAGTGACTTGAAAATCCCTATTCAGTCAAATAAAAGAAAAGAAGGCGTTCAGCGAAGAGACTCTTTTCGGCGAATTCATTTACTGAGCTGTCCAATCGCATACTTATACAATTTTGTTTGTGTGTGTGTACATTAGATTTATAAAGTTTAGATAATTATGTAATATAAGTATTATTTGGCTTGGAGACAAACGTTAAGATAGAAAATGAAATAGAATTGATTAAGTGAATTGGATGACGTAATACAGTTGAGTAGAATTCGGAGTAGGTCAGGTTGGCAACAGTGTTAATGAGTAGTGGTTAAATTGAGTAGAATTCAAGTGAAATTTGAACGAGGATCAAGTCAAAAACAGTTGTAATCAGGAGTAGAAATATAATAGGGGATGAGGGAAGGAAATAATACAATTAAGAAACGAAATTACGTATTTGGTGTTAAGATAGATCAGGTTGATTGTAGATTTAATGACTGAACAATCTTCTTTTATATGCAGAGTTCAGGATTTACCATGTGAATCGCTATTGCTTCTGCGGTTTGAAAAAGTTTGATTCTTAAACCTTTAGCAAGATTCCCCTTGTATTCGGTAGATGACTTTGAAGTTCGTTTATGGGTTAGCCTGGTGTCCAGATTCGATGAGGTGTTCCAGGATAGAGCTTTAGCGGGGGGATTTTTTCTCCCCTTTATAAAACCAAGAGAATAATTGTTAACTGATAGGTTTGGATAACAAACACACCCAGACCGGAGCAGGTAGTTCGAAATAGTCACCTCCGAGCCTTTGTCATGAAGTCTGATCCATAAAAAAGTGTAGCAGCGTCACGAGATACCCTCCAATGGTTTCAGGTGACCGAAACAAGTTTATTCGCCATTCGATCCATTTCCATTTTGTATTTGATGTACACTGTAGGTTTTGGATCCGGCTTTTCCAACTCCCCTAGGTAGAATAGCATGACCAACAGTTCGGTTGTAGGCTCCAAAAAGTTAGCGTTCACCCTTTCAATTTTGTAAATAACACCCTCTCTGTGTGAATGCAGTAAATAGAACTTACCTAGAAGAAACTATGAATAAGTGGCCTCATGACAGCACTCGAAGGGG